TATGCAAATTATTAACTTATTTACATCATTTTGATTTTAGAAGAAATGTATATAATGTTACTGTTGAATATACGACTAGTAGGTAAGATAAATATGAATATTATTTAGTAGATTTATATTCTCTTTACTCATATCATTCCTTCATACTTGACCAATAAAGTTTTTTACTCTCAGAGCTCTATTTGAAGCTAAAGAGCTGCATGGAAATCATGTGATCAGTTAGAGTGAAGAGGCAAGAAAATATCACCTAGAAAGGCGAGAGAATAAGATTGACTAATCATGCGATTGGCATTACTTTTTCGGTACCAGCAGACTTTTTTAGGAAGATACTGCGAAATGTCGTGACTTTGTACAGGATTCAATTGTCCATAAGTGTAAAATTTAGAGACAAATTTCTGTAAATTAGAATTGAATGTGCAATAATATCGATCGAAATCTCCTGATAAAATAAAAATAATTATAAAGAGAAATCAATATTGATTCAGCTCTCAAGAAGAAGATAGATATAAATCTAAGAGAGTGAATAGAAAAAAGAAGAGAGACGAAAAAAAAACAAATTAAAAGTGAAGCATGTATGACAACTATTGACATCATTTATTTTATTATTATGAATGCATGGTGAGATCATTGTCTTTTCTATTCGTTTCCGACTATCTAATTAATTTTGTGAATGTACATAGTGACAAATGAGGTATAAAATAACGAACAAAAATAGAATAGCGTATGATTCAATTGATTGTTTTACTTTGTTTTTAGAAAAGAGCAGATAAAGTTAAAGTTGTTGTTTCTTCTATTCAAATACAATTTCTCTTATGATTCACTCAAATCCAGTGGTTGATGTTTCTTCTTTCTGTTTCTTCTTTCTTTTTTTTTCTCATGTATATAAACGTGAAACGATATTTAAACACAGTCTATTTTCCGTTTTCAAATAACCACAAGTCCGTCCGATATGAGCTCTGGATGCTTTGTTGTTTTGAACAAAGTACCACTTAGCACTTTGTTAATAAAAGAAAAGTATTTAAATGTACTGTGTTTTAGATATCTGTTAAAAACAATGTCTTCTGCACGATCAGATAATAAATCATCCAAAAAGGATCAACGTAAAGAATGGAATAATTTGAAAAAAAAAATAAATCGTCTTGTTCATGAGGCAAATATTTCAAACATATCAAACATCATCAATGAATTGTTCATGGTAAATATAGTGAAAGGTTGCGGCCATTTTGCTCGGAGTATTATACGTGCTCAATCAACATCACCACATAATACACAACCCATGGGGTAAAATATCTAAGGAAACGCACTGTGTAACGCGTTTCCAAGATTGGGGCATGCGTTTCGCAGCGTTTCTTCGAGACGGAATGCGTTTCACAGTATTTTTACTTATATAGAACGCGTTTTGCTGCCTTGAGTTTTTGAAACGATACGAAACGCTTCTTTTTGTGATTACGTTTCGAAGCGTTTCCCAAATGAAACGCTGTTAAACTCATTAAGTCGACAAGAAAAGCATTGTACAGAGTCACAACTCGGAGAAAATGCGAAACGGGTTCTTTTAAAATGCATTTGCATCGGTTACGCTTCGAATGATGCAAAACTGATCTCTTTTGTTAGAGCATCTCGCACCAATTCATCTTTAAAAAGCATGTGAGTTAAGAAAAGTCAACTCTGATATGATTTTGGAAATTATGCGAAATGGTTTTACAAAAAATTTGCTGATTGCATTGTTTTTGATCCTCAAGATGGCGGCGCAGGTCTTTCTTAGCCAAGGTCAGAATTAAGTTCTTCTAAGACTTCAACGAATTACGTCGTTTTCTAAGGCTGTTTCGAAGTTAGGCTAGTATTGAACATCAGAGTGTATTCTACAGTTATCTTCTGTTAGAAAACTCATTTCACTACGTTTTCATTCAAAGAAAACGCGTTTCGTAGCATTGAATCTAGAATTCTGTAAAATGTTGAAGAATTTGAAGAAATTCAGTAAAGACTGATGCAAAAATAATCCGTAGGACAGCTCAATGTTGTTGTGTGAAAAAAGTATTTTCGGATAATGTACGATTTATAATAATAATTATTGATAATTTATGTATGGACTGCGTTATAGTAACTGATTATATACTCTCCGAAACATGGCTAGAATATCACTTTCGTTCGTACACTATCGATGTATGTAAGTGCGGCTTGTTGATAAAAGAGGTTCGAATTACAGAAAAAATATTTTTGTAGTTATGATTGCACTTGGATTTACTGATCATGGATTTACATTGACAAAAAAACATTCAATTCAACAAAAACTTTGCAAATTTTGCAAAATTAAGATTACAGTTCTTTTGAATTTAAATTTACGAAATTTAATCTTTTTAAGATTTTTAATTCAATTTATATGGAATTAAATTCATTTTAATTGGGTATTTAAACTTTAAAAAAATAAAGTTTTACAAATTTAAATTTCTAAAAGTTAAATTTAAAATAAATTGACGGAAAATGACACTCTTCCTTGGATAAAAGCAGCAAAAAGAATATCATTTTTCATCGATTCATTCAGACGCGAAACAAAATTTATTCGAATCATAAATCTGTACAAGATATCTAAATAAGAATAGAGCAAACACTTATATCATTTGACTATTTTAGTTGAACGGTTTGTATACATATCGTCTATTCTTATGTTCTCCTGTTCGAATCCACCTCTTAACTTTATCGAAACTAATGTAAGTTAACTCTATAATTCTATGAATTAATGTAAATCAGTATATAGATCGCACCTGCAAGTTGAGTTCTACGAAGTACTTGACGGGTTTTGTTTTTTTCTGTCCTTCAAAGTATGCAACACCACAGATTCAGAAACACTGCGAAATGATTTTAAGAAAAAATCGTTTCGCAACGTTTATTTTAGCAAATGTGAAACGCGTTAAACCGGCCAGCATTAACGCGTTTTGCAGCTATGAAAAAACGCGTTTTCAGAACGCGTTTTTTTCGCAAAAAATTACGCCATGGGCATCGAATGTATTCAACAGCATCTGGTTCTTCGAGAAGGGCTAAAAGAGGAAAATGTATTTTAATCATTATATTTTTTTATTATTGTAAATAATATCTTTATCTTATTATTTAAATGTTTAGTACGATTAATGTGTGTTGACTCAATATGTAATCTTGAACAAAATCATCAAGAAAATCCTCCAAATAAATATGAGTGAAGTTATATTTAAATTGAATTAAAATTCATTTTTGTTTAATTATTTTTTAAAGATTTGCTGATATTAAAGATTCATGTAGAATTGAATATAATGGAGAATCCATTGAATTTAGTATTAAACAATTAATTAATATAAAATACTTAGGTCAAGGATGCTTTGGTTCGGTTATATTAACTCAACTTGAACATCGACCAGATGTCATATTCGCATGTAAAGTTAGTTGAATGTTTTCTTTTTATCTAAATAAGAGAACAAAAATCTAATTTTAAATAAAATTTTAGAGAATGACACTTGAAATACTTGAAAATAATGATTATTCATCTCAATGTGATTTAAGAGCAATGAGAGATGTTGGAAATGATCGTCATCCTCATATTGTTAATTTTTATGCTGCTTTAATTGATTTAATTAATGGAGAATTAGTTATTTGTATGGAAGCACTTGAAACAAGTATGGATAAATTTTATTCCACTCTTCATTCACGTATTCAACCATCATCAAATTTATTAGATTTATTTATACGACGATTAGCTAAACATGTTAGTTTAATTTAAAAAGAAATAAAGTTTTTCGTTTTAATTTTTTAATTTATTTTTATTTAGATTGTCTTAGCACTTGATTATCTTAAATCAAAAAATCTAATTCATAGAGATGTTAAACCACAGAACATGCTAGTTGCACGTCCAGTCATATTTAAATTGTGTGATTTTGGAATTTGTGAAACTTACAACGATTCACTTTCATTAGTTCTTCATAGATCAATGAATTATTTCTCTGTAACATTTTTCTTTAACTATCTATTTATTTATTCATTTTATTTTATTAAAAGCCTGAGCGTTTTCGTGGTGTTTACTCTTATGGAATACCATCTGATATGTGGGCATTAGGAATGAATCTTGTATGTTTTAAATTGAAATAAATTCTTCTCTTATTCATTTGTTTTTTTTATAGCTTGAAATAAGTCAAGGTTATCATCCATTAGCTTCACAACCAATTCTGTCATATCTGTCTCATATGAACAATGGATGGCAACCAGATATACCCTTAACACTTAATCAACATACTAGAGATTTACTTTCAATATTGTATTGTTTTTTTTTTCAATCTAAAATTATTTTTATTTAATTGTTTTTATTTTTCTTAAAGACTTCGTCATAATGTAAATGAACGTCCACGTCATTATTCGGATATATTATCAATGCCATCAATGATATCTGTTGAAGAAAATCCATCAGATGATGAGATAAATCTTGTTAATTGTGTTCTTGATGCTTTACCATCAGAAACATCTGAATAAACATTTCTCATATTATTAAGTAAATATTTATTTTGATATTATATTTAATCAAATAGAATAATTATATTTCATTTTAAGCAACAAGCATATTGGACATTTTTTTTTCTCAATTCAGGTTAAAAATAAATAATTATTTATTCATAATCTATCAATATTAGATATATTATTTATTTAAATTCTCTTTCTCTCGTATCTAACTTTTTAAATATTCGAATAATAAAATTTTAATTTAATGAAGACAAAATTTTAAAAAAAAGTAAGTTTCGAAATGATGAATAAATAAATAAATATAAGTAAAAGCTAAATAATTTGTTGTTGTACAACGAATCGATGAAGTTGTAAAGTGAATTGAACATTGAAATGATTGGGGTAAAATAGTTTTATCATAATCACATTCATTTTAATTTGTTTGCTTTTTATCTAATTTAAATATAATTATTATTTAAATAAATAAATAAAACCTTTTATTTGATCTTTAGTTTTATCTTGATTTGTGGGTGTGGGTGGGTGTGGGTGTGGGTGTGGGTGTGGGTGGGGTGTGGATGTGGTTGTGAGTGTGGGCGGTGGATGTAGGTGTGAGTGTGGGTGTGAGGATGGGAGTGTGGGGGTGGAGGTGTGAGTGTGGATCTTCTCTTGTTCAACTTTCACATTATCATCCATACACACACTCACACCCTAATATTGATTTCTAACCATCCAGAAACAACAAAAATGATATGGTTACGAAAAAGATACTAATGAAGTTATTCTCTTTTGCAAAACAAAATGCAATTCTTTTGAGATTATCGTGCTCACCGTGCAGTCAACTATCGAGAAGTCTTTGCATTCTATTTACACTCTTCATTGTGTTCCAATATACTGCTTCTATTCTTGAATACTTTCATCCAAGTAAGAACATCTTTTCGTGCTCCTCAATCCTGCGTAATATAAATACATCTTTCTCAATAAGCTTTATAAAAAAGCCAATGGTTGCTGTGCTTTTGTCGATATTTTGCTTTAGATTGTGTACACATAGCAAAATCATGAAAGCTATTAAGTATAATTATTATTCAACATGTACTGTTTTTATTTTTCTAATGCATGTAATCAACTGCCCAGGCGAAAGTTAAATATATTTTTTAAAGAACTGATGTCACATACTGTGCTGTTTTTCAAACATTTGTTGCTGAAATCCGCGAATCCTTGTGAATAAACACGATCGAGGCTCCTGTTGAGACCTTTTGTGACTGATACAAGTAAACATGTTGAAAAGAACTCATTTGTCTATAAAAGCAGCAACTATTCCGATCAAATGACATTTCTTCAATCACAACAATGCAACTATTTCTTATTCTGGTAACGGCAGCATTGTAAGTAATTCTATCATGATAAATCAATAATGTGATACAAATATTTTTTTAGATATATTGTCTGCATTGTCACAGGTATGAGAGACTTACTTTATTCAACATTTATGTGGGAGCCTAATACGACCTCATGAAGTTTATATCATTTACTTTTTTGTTGGTTTATTTAAAACGTCATCCCCACAAATGTTTGGTAGTTTAATCCATGTTATTTTTTGATGAAATTCGTTGTAGGTCAAAACACAACCAATACACAGCTCTCTACATGTGGATGCTGTCCATCACCATACTGTCAAGCAAAAGCAACACCATGTTCAACAAATTCTGACTGTGAATGTTTGATGATGGCAATGACCGGTGGAGGAATGTGTACGGATACAGTTATATCATGTAAAGATTTGGTTCCATGTGCAAATGATAATAAGACATGTTCGGCACCCAATACTGTATGTGTCAACAACACTCGATGCAGCATTCCTGTTTGTTATCCGATTGATCGTGCCTCTTCTCAGCGATGTCCACCGTTGACTTCGGGAATTTCAATCATCAATACAGGTAAAGTTTTTTTAACTACAATGCTGATGAATATTATAGAATCAATTTAAACCTACGCGATCTTTGACGTGTTTTTGGTAAGACTTTCTTTGAATATTATGCTCACGTTTAGGAAGAAGTTATAAAATGACCTAAACCTTATCAAAGCATGTAGCTCTCTCAAGGAATGCGGTAAGAAGACATTTATCCTCAATCGATTTAAGATTGAAAAATGAAAAAAATGTCTGTTTGTGCCTTGCTAACACAGACGTTCAAGTCTTGCTACATTTTATCTTAAACTTGGCTGCTACCAATATAGATAAGAGAGCATACGACTGCTGGTAAACCGATTTGAGAACACGAAGAGCTGTTGAGAAAAATTTTGTCTTGGTACGTAAAGTTAGCCTAACAGTTATTTGTCCTTTTGTATTCAATCATTTCTTGTTCCTTGTCATTTCAAAACCACACAAGCTAGAATGCTCAGCTTGTCATCATTGTATAGAAGATATCATGCAGTCAATATATATGGCTTATCAATCATTTATGTTGTTTTATTTTTTTTTATACGAAAAATACTAAAAATGTGTATTTTTCCTTCAGAGAAAATTATTCAACCAATTTTTAAAATGCAATTCATTTTGTAACAGAGATTGGTATTAACGAAAGACTATTAATTAGTTTATGAGATAGACTTGAAATGAGTACTCCCGAGTGAAAAAGTTCAATTCGTTAATGAAGAAGGACTCACTAGAATCGGCGTGTTTTTATTCCTGATGTTCTGAATTCTCTAGTGACAAAAATATATTATACCATAATGAAGGAAGATTTATGAATGGTCTAAGCCATATAGATCGACACAAATCACTACATATACTTTAGATCCAAGTCTGATACAAACGGGTATATTGAAAATTGAAAAACGACGAGAGGATGCTTCAATTTCTTTTAGTGCTCATGCAAATATCCACATTGGAAAAAATGTTTTGCATGGCCAATCCACACGGATTGCAAAACCGAATAGGCATATCAAAATGTACCAAGACATCCTCAGGAGACAAAATCTGAGGCAGTCTGTATCAAGTTATTCTCGTTCCCAAAAAAAAATAGCTTAAGTATCATTCACATCCTATGGACTCGAAATGCAAGAAATTGCGTCATTCCGAAGCATTTGAGGGTAGTTGTGTATCAGAGAATATGTAGGTATTCTGTTCATCCACATCTTAACCAGCCATCTTGGCAGTTGATTCGGATCCTACTAGTTGAAAATGGGCATGCAAAAATTGATGCCAACCAATTTAGCAACTACTGATTGCTGTCGAATAATTTGAATTACTCTTTCGACATGCTCAAGGATGATGTTTATGACTAGAACAAGCACAAATACTTGTAACAATGTTTACCATCATATACTAACCAAGCTTGAGTGACTGTCTATATGACATCTTCAGGGTACCAGCGAATTCAGCACATCACCGAGCCGTCAGGCTTGAGAGCTGGAGAAATTGGTGTCATCGCGCAAACCAATCATATTCGGGAGAACGAAAGAAAATTTGTTTTGTTCTCTTGAATATGAATTATTTGCACTCTCCGCTCTTGAATTTAATGAGCCGTTAGTGGACTCGGGCCGAGACTCTCTAAAAAAATTCTTATCATGTGGAACCTTTTCAATGGGCATAATTTTATGAATCTTTAAAGGTTTCTAGACTTTTTGACTAGAGCCTTTTTTTTCTCGGAAATTTTTGAGTAGAAAAGTTTGAGTTCGAAAATCTAGAACCTTTAAAAGGTTTATAAAATGCTACCCATTGAACAGCTTCTGTAGGGTGCGCTTTCTTTTCTTTTTACAGAGTATGTTTGAGGGTACCTGATTGAGGGCGAAGAGAATATTCACATGTACTCGCACCCATACCTACAATCTCTAGTAGTTGTGCTTGTGTCCTAGCTCTGTTGATGTCCGCAAAGCATTATTTCAATTTCAGCCAAAATCGCTTTATAAGACTCTAAAAAAAGTGTCCACTATACACAAATGTCTATTAGACAGATGTCCAATTCTAGCCAAAATTGCTCCATCGAATCAGGAAGTGTTCACTATACAGAGATACCTGCAGCGGAAGATTCCACTGAATAAGCGATGACATCATTATGTTGTGCTTTTTCTTACGTAAAGGCTCAACAACTATGACAACAACGCGATCGGCAATGTTAATAGCTACCACATCATCAACACCGATGCCATCAGTAACCACCACATTATCGACAACACCAAGAACAACAACACTATCGGCGACATCGACAAATGTTGTAACAACGACGACCTTTGTGCCTAGCAGTAAGCGATAAGATCCTTGAGTAATAATTTATTTGATAGCTGCATAGAGAATCGATATCACAGAGTTCAAGCGATACTATAAAATCAATCATAGACTCATTTCCATTTTGTAAAAGATGATTAGAGAGAAGTGTTGAAGTATATAGCGAGAAAAATTAACCTTTTCTGTTCTCAATCTGCCCCTCCTTCACACGCGAACGGGCAGAATGAAAAGGTTTTCTAGCATCACAGATCATGGCAGACATTGCGGTATGTTAATCCGTCTAACTCCAGAGAATAATGTGATTTATGCAGATAGGGTTCTCGTTAACGAGTATAACAAATCAATCATGTTTTACATTTTAATTTCGTAGATATTGCACTGAAAGCTTTTCCTGCTGAATTCCAACAAACAAGTATAACATGAGACGAAGAATTGTTCTAAAACGAAGTCCAGCTTTTTAACTGATATTTGAATTGACCTGAGATAAATCATTAAACAATTTTTATTGATTCAAGTCGAATTCATTCAGACTCTAGTTCAACGAGACGTGATTTCTGTTGTGGTATGTCTGACTTTGAGTAGGTTCTGTCAAACGAGCGAAATTGACTTGATACACTTATATCAAAGAGATTTTGATGGCGTCTATATTGATAGATCTAATGGCAGAAAAAAACTGAATTTGAAACCAATTATTTCCTCATTTGCAATTCTCCATTAACCTTCTAGCCGACTAACTTCTGACTAAACATTCTGATGATCAAGTTACAATTTTTCAAAATACCACAAATAGGCAGTTTGGCTTCCTTAAGTAGAATATACGTGAAATTAAAGGAGCAATATTTTGACTTGAGATCTAATATATTCGAAAACCTAGTTTTTGATAACGATGAATGTGAGCTTCGTGTAAAAATCTAGTAAAAACTTGTGCATTGAGTATTTCTCAATTATTTTGCGCAATATTAATCAACCATTTGCCATTATATCATGTGTGAAAATCAATGAAAACCAGAGATCGTTGATTGTACACCAGCCCCTGCATTTGGTAGTGGCCTATGTGCAATAGCTGAGAAATTGACATTGATACACATGAATAAGGATGATTAAAGAATGAGAACACAGGCGTATAGATACTCAGTTGTAAAAAAAGGTTCATTGAATCAAATGCTTGAATATGTCTACTAGGTCCTAAGTTTGACATCACAATGGTGCAGATTACGCTAATCTCTATGTTCGCTCGAGTCATTTTTCGATAATATTCGACAAACTGCTTCTTTTAACCGTTTAAAATTCTTCTCCGCGCCAGAATTGTTTATGCTATGATATCACAAGGTTATCTTTCATAAAATCGTAATTCATTTACATTTATTTTTAGTGCTTCTTCGATAGTTTTTGTAGAAACGAGAATTCTTTGAATCTTTGCACTTGTACGACAGCTTTGAAGATCTTGAGGAAGCAAAATAGTCTCTTGTGTCAGACAAGAATTCAACAATATATTGAATATGTTATGTTGGCAGGGCTAGGAAATTGTTATCATTTTGTTCGACAACTGGTAACTGGAAATCGTTAACTGCTACTGCATCACATTACCAGTTACCAGTTTTCAAATACATAACGTTCAAAGCGTGACAAAAGCGACATACAAAAAGAGAACCTTACCTCAGGTACCCAATATAACAGAAAAGTACCTTCAAAATTGAGAGAATATAATAGAGAGAACTATATACCATTTAAAACATCTTTGAAATGTGACGTCAATCAAACTTAAATATCGAATGGGTTGCAGTAAGGCGTGTATTCATGTTATAGCTATAAACAAGTTCTTTTGTGTACCGTCATTCATGTGTTTTATTCATAGTTTATTTTACGTGTGGAGACTTTCAGAATTGTGAAATTTTTGCGTAAATCTGTGAGATGACAATCCAACTGCCGAGTTCATATAGGTCACATACTGATTCAGATTTATTTTCGACTGCATCAGCAGCGCATTCCAGAAAGCTTTCGTGATTTCCTTTGAATTGTGTTTAAAATCAACATATAAGTCAGCGTACAAGATCTATGATCGGCTTTGCTCTATTAAAAATCTCCGATATTGAATATCACCCTACTTATTTTGTAGACTTTCGTATTTTAAAAGATTGATGATATTTCCAGACTTATAGAATGTAATTCTAATGAGATATCAAAACCACTACAGCAAGAATCAAAACTGAGTTTCACGACTCTGAATCATTTTATTTTAGCGACATCTACACCTATTATTAAAATACATTCCTATCAACAAAAGCTAGAATCATGAAAGTTTTAGCTAATATAGATTTTTGGACGTATTAAACAACTGTGATGTTC